TTCCTTGTAAAGACAGTACAGAATTTTGTTGCGATGTATTTAATAAGGATTGTTTCTATATCTTGGAGTTCTGCTTTGATATTGGAACAAAAAAAGTGAAATGAGAGTGATACATTTGCATCTACCATTGCAGATATTTTTGACCTAGTGTATACTTCCTCTTTTTTTTATATCTGATCAATTCTAGCAACAATACAACCAAGTCACCTTCTGAAGGTACATGTTATTGTTACAAATGAAATGCTATACAGTAGATGTACATCTGTGGACCAACCAGGAGAATAATTTGCTTCATAAATAAGGAAAAATGTTTAATAGTGGTTTGCTCCTATTAAAAAATGCCATCTGTATTCATATGTCCACCTTTTGATGTGGGTGAAACAAATAGTCACTGACACCACACAGACATAATATGCACAGACTCAGATACTTTGAAACTGTAGTGCAGAGTGACTCTGTGTAATTGTAGTATTAAGGCCCTTTGATGTCCTACTATAATTTCTGCCCATCAGAAAGGGAGTCTAAGGGCTCCCTGATGAGGGTTTGCTGTGCCCCTCTGTCCAGACGGCTCCTGGTTCACTCTGTAATTATGGAAATGGTGTGTTTGTATTTATAGGCTTAGCCCACAAGCGGCTGCCTTCTCTGTCTTGCAGCTGCAAAACATCACAGTTGAAATCAAGTGCTCATGTTTTAAAAGTAAAGTGGCTATACAATGGCAACATGTATAACCCATTTAGAGTCACTGATCTGATGGTCTGCAGGTTTGCTGCACCTGCTGTAGCGCTTTGTAAGCACAGTGTGAAAACTCTTGTTGGATGTGGTTCATTAAACTCAACGTGTGAACAAGGTGTATCGACCATGACTAAGCATGCATGAAAAGGAGTTCCCCAGTCAAACGTTCAGTTTCATTGTTTTTAATATTTACAATAAATACACATATACAGTATAAAATTCATATACATGTATAAATTTAAGTAAAAAATAATGCACAAGGCATCAAGCCCTGATAGTGACGAGTGGACTGAATCAGAGAGGTTCACACGAGAAGAGGCAGTTATAAGGAACAGCTTGGGCCATTCAGACTTCAAGGCAGTTTAAAAGAAACATTGTCTTTGGGCACATTTTGGATTTTTATGCACACTTGACTCCTGTCAGCATGAACATGAACTAGTTTCTGGCCATATTGTGTCACTAAAAGTTTTACAGTAGCACGGCCATAGCAAGGCACTTGTGTCAAACACTCCAGTTCTGTAGAAGACTAGTATATACAGGGCCAGCCCTTTCTTGGTCTGTTACTTAAAAGGAAACGCAGCTTTTCTAAAGCCTCTACTGAAAGAAAGTAGTACCAGCTACGTTATTAAGGATAATAACACAAACTTTTTAAATCCAATATTATATAAAAAGACTTTGGTCATGTGTTGAACATTTTAAATAAAAATACGTCACAATAAAAACAGCACAACCCCCCCTGATCCCCAAGTCCTTATGAGGGCTTCACATGTGTCTCTTCATGTGAAGTGCCAGGTGGTCAGACCTGGAGAAGGCGCGCTCACACAGGTGGCACTGGAAGGGCCTGTGTCCGGTGTGTTTGCGGAAATGACGGGTCAGCTCATCGGAGCGGGCGAATTTCCACCCACAGCCTTCCCAGCTGCAGTGGTATGGCTTCTCGCCTGCGTGGACAAAAATGAGAAACAGTTAGCCTGTGCTGAAATGGGAAATGTGCTTTGGAGCACCGTGCTGCCCCGTGAAACTGCGCAGAGAAAGGGTCTCATTTATCATGATAGATATTAGCTCAAACTTACCGGTGTGAGTTCGGAGATGTGCCTTCAGATGTGAACTCTTGGTGTATGTTTTTCCGCAGCCAGCGAAGGTGCATGTGTGCGTCGCTGTGCGCTTTCGTGGCCATGTGCGTCGCCCTCTCTTGGGTTTGGACTCAAGCAACTCGAGGGGAGATGAAGGCGGTGTGAGCATCACCCTCTGAGCACCTGGCTGCAAGCTGAGACCTTCATCGTACATGCCAAAGGGAGCGTGCGGAGCGTGATAGGGCATCTGCATCTGTGGAACCTGAGGGTGGTGCGAGAAAGCCGCCGGTGCATGATACTTCTGTGGGAAGCTCATAGGCTGGCACAGCTGTGCCTGGCAGTCCGAAGCACCCTGGTCATCGGGGCTGAGAGGCGGTGTCATGTTGCTGGCTGCTCGGGGAGAGATGGCCACCCGGGGTTGCTCGAAGGACATCATGCACGAAACGTTCCCTTCTTGCTTGATTTTGCTGCAGCTCTGAGGCACCATGCCCAAAACGGGGCCGTAACTGTCCATGGGTGGCTCCACTTTGATGTTGTCCGAGCGGGGGAAAGGCGCAGTGTTGACATAAAATCTCCCCTGAATGCTGGGGTTGCGCGTAATGCCATAGCTGTTGGTTCCTTCGGAGCGGAGCAGCTCAGTCATGAGGCTGGCGCCGTACGGGGGCGGCGGGGAGCGGTGGTCGTCTGCTGGGTAGGAGGGCATTGAGTTTCCCGTTGTGTACATGCTGGGATCAACTGTGCCCACATATTCCGCGGCGCTGTCTGAGCCAGTTGTGTTGGCGAGAATAAAATCCAGATCCAAATAATTACTCAGATCCTCGTCGTCCTTTTTGCTGTGATTGTCCAGGTTATGTACCATTTCAAGCATGGAGCAACTGGTGGGGACTGGTTTGTCCATCTCTCCTTTCCATCTCTGAAAGAATGAAGCGATATGGTTACATAAGATAAATAAAATGCTGAAGCTAAAATAAAACAGGCTACTTTTTGTTACTCTAGAGAAGAAATCCAGCCGGACAGGTCAGCGAGCTTAATACAGAGTCTTTTAAACTTAGATGGAAAGTTATTGATAAGTATTTATACATTTCCTAAAGCATGTTTCCAAAAGCTTTGCAAAATATTAATTTTGCCGTCCTACTCAAAACTGGTGAAACTAAGTGGCACATAACCAAAATCATTAAAATCGCACATAACATATTTTAATGAAAGATTATTAACTTACGTTGTCCCAGGTTTTTTCTCTTTGGATCGAGAATGTCGAAAATGACGGTAGCATCACTCCGGATAAGGCCATGGTTTGCTGAAATAAGAGCTATCTCTTGTCAAAGTTGCGTTGTGTTAAGCGGCAGTCGCGCCAGAGTGTGTGCGCTAATTTCACTGTCGCCTCTCCGCAGCTGTGCTCCAAAGACATGAACAAGTTTAAACGTGGAAGGAGGTGCTCTAACCTTATAACTCACTAACCCGAGTGCGCCTGGCCAATTGTGAGAGCTCAGGAAACAACGTAGAGCTTGGTAAATTTAGCACTTTAAAAAGCAGCTCCTGCAGGCAGAATGTTCAATGTGCTGTATGACAGGCAGGGCAGCGCAGAGGAACCTATAAAGTATGGCCCGCCCCCACAGGCTGACGCTGGGACTCGGCAAGCCAATCCTGCCGAGCTGGAGTTGGAAAAAAGTTACAGGCAAAGTACAAACACACAGCAATATAGCAACCTTTGATACTTACGTAATATGCTGAAAACAAAACACACACACACACACACGCACACAAAAACAACAAGACTAATGAGAGAAAATGCTGGAGGCCAAGCCGCACCAACAACTTAATATTAAAGCTGTCAGTACTTCATGTACTTCTGTCAATCATCCCAACACAAAGAAGATACTGATTAGCAGTAATTGGACTCAGAGTAGTGAGTTAAAACCTTGAAGGGAATGGAATGAACTTAAAAAAACTTTTTAAACTTGTGGTACACGCATCTAACATTACAAAACATTCGCTTTAATTCTTCCACATGTTTGCATCAGTTAAGTTCAGAACTCAAATCGTTTTCTGCCTTGCACCAGGTTTAATTTCCGCTTCTCTCCAATGTAATGACAAAAACTCTTTCAGTCCTTACGCGTTCCCTTCAAGCTTTTAACTTGGTGCTTATGCAACCTTTTGTACAGGAGCAATGCGTGAGTTCAAAATAATGCTACTGTAAAAGGTAAATATATCTTCTGTTGTCCGTATGTTGCTGCCTCCACCTGTTTGGTGTCTCTTGCTCTCGGCTCCATGGAGGATGGTTTTGTTCTTTCCCAGCAGGCTTGTCAAAACAGGCGCCAGGATCGTCTGAAACGGGTTTCACGGCTTTTTTAACTCTCTAACAGCTCCTGATGTAAACGTGATTTAAGGTTACGTTTCTTTCAGGTGTAAATGACGGGGTCGACTGGGGTCAAATTTACATCACAACTCTTGTCTGCTTGTTGTTTATGAGGGATCTGGTTTCTCATGTGAAGACGGTCAGATTATTGTTTTCTCTGCAGGATTCTGGCTACGGAGGCCATTAGACCAATTCTACTCTTTAAAACCATAAATAGATTTTAAAGCATTCTTTCTTGATGTAACATCACTCATGTAAGCTTGAATTTTGATATCTAAGCTTTGCACAATTTTACATATCACTTCCATCAAAAATAAGCAATAAAACACATAGTTAAGTACAAAATCCAAACTATATAATACATTTTTATCTATAGGACTACAGTCAATTATAGGTCTACACATGTACCTTGATTTCAGTTTGATTGATTCTCATTTACATCAGCAGTGATGGGAGAAATATTCAGGTTATTTAAGTGCAAGCACAAAACCACAATTTAAATACTCAGTTAATAAAAGCCTTAAATTCAGTAGTTTACTTGAGTTTGTATTATCAGCTAACTTTACTTGAAGTATACTCATTGTGCAGACAGAATAGACTTTAAAATGTTATATCATCTACAACTGGATTATTATTAGTGATATATTCACCTGCAAACAAACTGGTTGTGAAGCTCAAACGATGACAGAGGTAAAGTAAAAAGTAACTATATCTATCACATAGTTGCAAAGGTTTATAAAGCACAATAATTCCATAATTCCCTGTGAAATATAGTGAAGTTGAAGTATAGAATAGCAAAACGTGAAGTGCAAAAGTAGCTCAGAACTTAAATGTACTTAATCACTTTCCACCACTGATAAACCCACTATGTGCTGTACAACTGATCATTTAACCCGAGAGGGAGAAAAGGACCCCCCCCCAAAAAACTAAAGGTAAGTACGTGATGATCTGAACAAGCAGAACAACTGAGTTCAGCATTTTGTCACAGACACATCACCTCTCATCAAGCTGTCATGTCCACCATCACCAGTAAACCCAGTTGTCAGTGCAGCTGGTGCACTTGTGAGTTTCCACATCCTGATCCCTGCTCTCTGCTGTGTTCAGTGGAAAGTGCGTCATAGAGCAGAAGTCCAGTAAGGCCAGAGAGGAAGTGTGTTTTTAGTGGCAGCAGTTCAGCAACCCCTGACCATTGACTCTGACCTGTGATCTGTGCTGCAGTCATCTTCTCCTCGTTGCTACTAGTGAAAGTCAGATCACTCTCACTTCCCCTGTTACTTAGTTACCTTTAACATTTTGTAATACTCCAAAGTTCAAATTTAAAGAACTTAACTGCTGACCACTTAGTAGTTACAGTAATATCACATAATTTAGGCTACTTACAAAAACTGTTCTCCTGTGCTAATTAAAAAAATTCTAACAACTTCTTTTGTAACGTGTCACTCTTTGGAGACTGTCTTGGCTCTTCTCACCTGTTGAATATCAGTGGTTGTGTGGCTTCAATACAGACAACATGGTTATCCTTACAAAATACTCTTGTCATTCTTAAAGGAACATTTTGGGAACTACACCTATTCCACTTTATGCTGAGTGTTAGACAGAAAGTTTAATACCACTCTCACATCTCATATTCAGTAAAAAGCTACAGCCAGGAGACAGCTTTCATAGTATAAAGCCCGGAAAGACAAAAACACCCAGCCTGGCTCTCCCTTTAAAGTCAATTGTCCCGAACATAATATAATATATAGTATATATGTGTAATGTTATTATTCATGTGCACTGATTAATTGGTCAGTTTTCTGCCAGTGACGATATCCGTTGACACTGATTGGTCAGTTTAGTGTCACCTGTTGGTCTGAGGAAAAAATGTAAACAACCATGGCGGAATGTAGGAGACACCACAGAAGTGGTGAAAAGGGCTCAGCAATAAAAAGAGAAGCAAAACCAAGACAAAATTTAAAATTTACCGGAGTTAACTGGATTTACAAATAGGCTTAAACCGACAAAGCGACAGGTGCGAGTCCTGCGACTGGCTGAAATTAGTACACAGCTCTTGTGCGGCTAATGCTAATGTTAGCATGGTGCTTCACTTGGCGGTCATTAGCTAAGAAGACGTTAAGCAACTGTGACGAGGACCAGATAGTGATGCTACCAGGGTCAGACACTAATTCAGAAACAACTTAAAAAAAGTACATCCACAGTAGTGTCACCTGCTGGTTAAGACACAGGACAATGAAACTGGAGAGACCGAAGATGACAGTGATTGTACCCTAGCAAGACACAGGTGCAATGATCCGTACAGCACTGACCCAGCTAAACAGGGGATCTCATTGACGGCGCTGTTTGTAGCTACTGGGTCAAAGTAGATCTGGAGACTCGTCAAAACACCTGCTGACCCACCTGCCTTGGTAAGTCAGTGTTTAAATTTAATGCTCGTTATCTTGGCATTGATATATTGTAGGCTCTTTACAGTTTACAGAGCCTGTGGTGTGGCCTGTTGTAGCCTACTCATAGTGTTTGCTGTGCTGTTGGAGAGACGTTTGTGTTATTGGAAAGATGTGATGAAGTGTAAATGAAGTGAATCAATGTACAGTTCGTTTGCTGTGGTGAGAGTTGACTTAGCAGTGATAAATGGGTTGCTTGTGGTGATGGTGGAAAATGACAGACAGACAGACCAAGCCCAGGGGCCTATGACAGATTGTCACAGATGTTTACTACAATTTTTGCACACACAGTTAATTGTCATGATGTCACTAGACCTGATTAACAGGCGATTCTCTATAGAACTGTAAAGAGACTTTAGTAGACAGTTGTGCATCTGGTGGAGTCAAATGCCAGCCAGCAAAGACTGAAACATTTGCACTTGAGTACCTGAAACTGTGGACAGCATCATCTTCGCTGTGAAGTGCAGCAAAGGCATGAGAAAGGCAAAAAGTGTCGTTGACAGGTCTAGTGTTTTCCCGGAGGGAACCCTCACTAATTTGCTTGACGTTTAAGAGACAGGTTTATATTTCATTCTGATATGTCACTTCCTGTGGAGAAGCATACGTACCCAACCAGAGAATTTCATTTGGGCAAACTAGGCGAATGAACTTGGCTTCACATATGATGGGTGGGACACTCATCTGACTGCGGCAGCCCACATAAAAAGATTTCTCAGTGGCGGTTTCAGTTAGAGATTTGTAACAAAACCCCTCTACATTGAGGTCAAACATAGGACAAACACCTTAGAGCTGGTTGGGGCTTGGTGTCCTCCTCCTCAGATTCCTGACTTTATGTCCCTTAGTCCAATTACATGCAGCCCCATGTCCGCTGTATTTTTGACTTTCCTTGCAGAAGAGGAACCACTGAAGTCTTGTGCTGAATGTAGATGAGCAATGCTTCTCCAGAAGCCTCTGAAAATCTTTCCCTGAATTGAGATTTACACAATAGCTTTACCATTGGGTAATGTGTTATTTCACAATTGTAAAGCTCGGGCTGTTGATGCTGCGGACTTATCTGTCCATTATCAACATGTCATGAAGCTGATGCACCATTTGCACCACTGTCTAATTATTTAAAATATTCTCTCTTAATCTGCTTTTTCTTACTAAAACCTTGCCCTGGATAACTTTAACAGTAATGGTGACAATTTTTAGCATTCTTCTGTTTTTTTTTTTAAATTCTGTATCATTTTCTTTTTTATGACTTATCATATTTCAAAATAAATCCTATATCAGTTCTGTAAATGAGGAAAAAAATATGCAACCTATTGACAAACAGAACTTTCCATTCTCACTACACCCAGACATAAAACCAACCGAAGCATGAAAGTGGCTTTCTTAGAAATAAGTACAACAAAGCAAAACAAGACAATACTGAGAAAAAGTACAAAAGTCTTATGAAGCAGTATCATCAATGTTCTTACACAGCATGCTTTCACTTGCACATTCATAAAAGAAATGTACTGTACATGCTCCACTTTTTGACAGAATACAAACAGCACATCTTAGTATTAACAATATAGTAGTGAACATCTTTATATTTTGTATTTGCTTCCAAATATTGGCACAACGAGCGAGTTCTATGGCTCATTGTATGTCTCATATTCTCCACTCTGAAACCTTGTGTTGTCACTCACAAGTTTTTACTGAGCTGTGACATGGGTACAAGTGTGCATCATGTCTGTGTCAGGTCTGTTAGTGTTCCGCCACTGCGGTGAGGATTTGGACACATCACCTCTGTTTCATGTGGCATACTTCACTAACTTCCATGGAAAAACAGTGTGTAAGTGTAAGAGTTAGCGCTCGGCCTGCATGGGACATCCTGACTGACTGAGAGTCAGTGAGAGTTTGAGAATGATTGGGATCCTGCTTCAGGCTTATATAGCCCGGTTATTTTTAACCACCCGCCCTTGCTTATTACAGCGTTTCCCCCCTGGACCACTCAGGAAGCACATTTGGCTCCTTTTCCTGCTCACACGTGGCCAGATTCAAACAGAATCAAAGAATGATAGCATTGAGGCTCTCCATCCCCCCCTTTGGAAAAAGAGGGGGGAACAAGGGGTGGAGCGAAATGTTAAGAAAAGGTTGGCATGCGTCAAAAGAATGACATTCAAAGAGTTGGCTGTAGTCCTGCTGCATTTTCAGGAACACTTTACAAAGGGGACAGAACAGATAGTTCTTAACATGCAATTATACCCGCTGGGAGCATTCGACAGGGTCTCTTTAGTGAATTAACATAACTAAAGAACAGTTTCACTGATAAAGAAAGAAACGGAGCTGCTACAGTATATACAGTTGTTAATTGCACTGCGCTCATTTGAATAATGTGTTATATGACACTGCCTGATTGTTTACCTTGGTAAGATGTAAAAGTAATCCAGCTGATACTGGAGAACATGGAGAGACCAGTTCACTTCCTTCCAATTTTTACCACTCAGGCAAACATAACTTCAATATTTCAGATACTTTTATTTTGTAATTTTCTATAGGGTCTTCTTACAGTATAGAAAAACTTGATTTTAAAGAGGAATTCAATCACAAGAATATTATTAAAATGTATTATATCTACTTATATCATTGTGATAAAAGGTGCAGATGTCTTGGTTACAACTAAATCAAATTCTAGGAGGCATTTCTAAAATTTTGTACAAGTAATTTATATAATTAAGGGTAGACATAATATTAGAAACACCTCAGTTCAACTGCACCACAAGCTACAAGGTTCTGATTCCTCTCTGAAACAGTTTCAACAAAAGATAAATATTAAAACCTTCATGGAAGGATTTATTGCGGGACTGTTGTATTAGACTTTATTAGATTTAGCTAGGCATGCTTAATAAAGGCCATGTCAGTTGTATTGTCAGAAGCTAATGGTAAAAGTGTTGATATAGTAACTGAGAAAAAAATTAAATCTGAATTTAGATTCATCACTCTGTCCAGGTAATAAACCTATTTAACATCTCTACACACATTACTGAGGTGAGACTTCTGAAAACAAAGAGCACTTACTGATATCTTGTGTGCATTCCACAGCACCTCTGCATTAAAACAGCCAGCGTCTGGCTTACACAGAACCCAAACATGTGTTTCGACAACCAATACAACTTTCAGCAAATGTTATGGAAAACCACCTTTTAAAAATATGCAGCTCACTCCGGCTAACATGGCAGAAATAATAGCTACATGTGGATATAATTGAGGCAGTAGAGCACTGGGGGATGGGGCACAATTTATTAGCTGTTAACACCAGGAATCATACTGGTCCCACTGGTCTGCAGCACTCACATGGCTTCACTGGCTGCGAAAATGTAGTTTTTTTTTTCTCTCTAAAGTGCGAAGAAAGGTGCTTTTTATTTGATAAATGAGAATGGACAGGCTCTCAGGGTCTTGTGGACCACTCTGAAAGCTCTGGTACATTTTCAGCATGTTCATCATTGGACACATAATTTATAAGTTAGAGAAGATCTACACCACTATCATTGTACATTGTACACTAAATATAGCCATTAGCTTAGCACAAAGGTTGGAAACAGGTGAAACAGTTATCAGTCAGTCTTTCCAAGGCAAGACCCGTGACATACCAAGCCGACGGTCAGCCATCAGCCACTGGTGGGCCGTCGGTGACTGTCTGTCGCCCTCGTTTACGCGGTGTGTCCTGCAACACTGACACTAGTCAGACCCTGCTGGTGGCTTTTTGGCTGATTCGCCATGTTGAATTGGCGGTAGACCTGGTTGGCGAGAGAGACCACTCTGATTGGCTTTTGAGCTTAGCGAATCAAAGCACAAGAAGAGAAACGGTTCAGGAAAGTCACTTCAGCCTGTCATTGTAGTATTCATGACACCCATTTAGTGCGGTTTCTCCTTGTTTTTCATGTCCATGACCTCCTTTCTTCTTCCACAACCAATAGACCAAGGGCAAAGAATGGCAGTGCCATTTGCAACTTCTTATCAGACATATTCTGGATTAGAAGCACCTATAAACAGTAGCTGTGGTGAACGAGAGCTGCTTTGTTTACAGCTTGTATATCTGCAGTCTAGCTCTTCTTCTTTCTCTTTCCGAATGGTGTATATAGATACCACCACCTCATGGTAGGGGGTGCTATTTCTCTCATGCAGGGGCCGAACGTATGTGCTAGTTGGCCATTGGCTGTAGTCTATGCGGTATATTCAAGTGCCACTTTTTCAACCTGACTGGCTCGGAAAAAAGGCGACATGAGGAGACGTGAAGCCACGCAACAGTCGGCCTTCATTGTTGCTGGTTCTTTCATGTCAGCTTGGTCTGTCTCTGCTGAAACAAAACAAAATCTGCCCACCAAAAGCTCTGAAGCTAACTAATTAACACATTAAATCTTGTTTGTTTTATCTTAATATAAAAACTGAAGGGTATGTACAAAGACAAGTTATGATTTTACAGGAGAGAGCCAGGCTAACTTTGCTCCCCTCTTTCCAGTATTTGTGCTAAGGTAAGAAAACTGGCTACTTACAGTCATGAAGCTGGTCAGGTTGACCCAGCTAACAGGCTCACTGACTTTCTTGCTGTGATAGACTGATACCACTCTGATGTTTATAGACTGAATATGTAGCTACAGGCATTTAGCTTACCACTGGAAACAGGAAACAGCTAGCTGATGATGATTCGAATGAGTATGATGACACTGTATAAAGTAGAGTTTATCTGTGCTGAAAGCTGGGGGAGGTCTGTGTTTTTCCTCAGTGTAGGTACCACAGTCTCAAATCTGCACATTTGAACATGCCAAACTAAACTATGCCAGCTGTACAAATAGCATGACCTGGTCTTCGACACAGTTTCCCTATTGAAACCATACTCTGCTTGATTGAGTGATCTAGCCTGCAGTGCTCTTTATAGTGTACACACCTCGAAATGGCGACATTTGTAAAAAGCCTAATAAAAACATTCCTGCAGC